CTCTGAAGCTGTGCTGGGAAAGCCCTCCCGCTCCAGCATACGTCACTGCATGGGATTCCTTCCAAAAAACAAAGTCAGCAGCTCTTCACTCGACGTTTATCCACAAACTGGTCCTGGATTAAGCTCCAAAGTTTTTATCAGTCAGATTCCACCGTGAAAAATGTCTGTTTTATCCCCTTTTATGAGTTTTTGGCCATTGACTATCTTTAAATCGCTGCTTCCTGGTACAACAGTCGGCTCTGGAAGGATCGCTTTTTTCTTTTTTTTTCTTCTTTTTTTATTTTGAAGCGAGTGGTTGAAGCAAATGGAGCACAAGAGCCCCCTGGTGGCTGAAGAAAAAAATCCATGTATAAGCCGCACCGGACTATAAGCCGCATGGTTCAAAGTTCAGGAAAAAAGTCTCGGCTTATAGTCTGAAAAATACGGTACATGCGTTACGGCTCCGCTCAGCTGCGGTGTGCAGGTCGCAGCTGAGTGTTTCAAGTCCAGTTTACATCACCTCCGCTCCGGTCCAACAGACGTGCATGAAGCAGATTGCGCGATAAATTCAGTGATAAATGTGGAAGTCACAGCAAAAAATAATTAATTCTGTGAAAGACGAACTCCAAACACAGCTGAAAACAACGATATAAAGGCTTTTAGTATCTATGTTGAAACTGTCTCACTGTTGTTTTTCTGAAACTTCTGATTTCAAAATAAAATCCACGTGTATCGTGTGTGTACACATAGCTTCATGCCATGTTTCCATCTGCTTCCCAAACAGAGCAATACATTCTGACAGCATTTGTGTAGAAATATATCCATATATTTAATAATATAGCTGCAATTTCGACATTATTCCGACAAATTATCCAGTCTAATAGTTCTTACTTTGAAACTACAGATGTTGTGCTCGTTTCTTTTCCTGATAGTGCGACGTAATCTTTAAAAATTGACTCCGGCGCAGCTCCGGAGTCTGGCAGTAATAGGATCTGTTCTAATTTTGACGGATCGCCGTCTGCTCACCGCCGCCCTGCGCAGTCAGTGTAAACACTCTGATTGATTATAATGGTTGTGTGTTTGCTGTGGAGGTCGGAGCGGAGCGGAGACGGCACACAAGTAGTGTAAATTAGGGGTTAACCTACTCTCCTGATAAACTAGTCTATTGATCCTTTTATTAAGTTCTTGAGTATTCAAACTAGTGCTGTACCAAACGATTATTTTCTAATCGATTTAATCTAATGATTATTTTTTTCGATTAATTTAACAACAAATTTATGTTATTCTGATGTGAGTGCACTGGAAATTTAAAATGTTTTCATCAAATTAACAAGAACAGTTCTTTAATATTGTAATATTT